AAATAGCATGACTTTTATGAACCAGATAGCATATTGACCCCCTTAGATTTGCAGAGTTATTAAACGTATGTAATGTACTTTAGCCAATAAAAGTGACTTTAATTGACTTGAGTGGAACCTCCAACCCCTCGCCCCCACCCACACACACCAACACACACACACATACTTGAAAAAAAAATTCTGGAACACTGCCTATATATAATTTATTCTAGTATTCAAGGGTATAGTAAAACACATTTTGCTAAGTTGATTTAATATTTATTACGTTATAAAGCCTTTCAAATTTCAAAACTCATAGATTGCATTGAAAATGATTTACATAAAGTTCAGTACATTTAAATAATTAATAAACTGCATAGCAAGATGCCATATCCGAGTCTCGTGCTACCCAGTCAGTGTAAGGCTTATGACGCGACCTCTAAGTGTAGGGTGTAGTCATTTATTCTTAAGAATGATGAAGAAAATGCGACAAATTAGTCTAGAATAAAAAACATCACCCTCCTCACCACACACCCCAATATTTTATTTTTTTAACTTACCTATTTATACTCATAACACATAATTCCTATAGACACCTTGAAAATAAAACTTATCTAAACCATGTGTCATCACATACAAAATGTGCGGATGTAATAAACAGCGATTTGAAAATAAAGAAGAAAATGATCTTCAAAACAAGCATTTCGTAAAAGGTTTGTCGTTTAAGAACCACTCTTCTATCTCTAATATTTCATCTTTCATTGCTATGATAAGCACCCTAGCTTTCATGGGCGCAGTTATAGGCTTAATATTAATTACTTATTAAACTCTATGTTATTTATTATTTATGAAAACTATTTCTGACTCATGCAATTTAAAGTCCTTTGCCTATTGGCTGACTCATGATTTAAATATCACGGTGAAACCGGTACCAAAACAGATTACAGAGTGCAAAACCGCAATATCGGTATCGACCTGGTGTTCTCTTTTCATGCAAACATCACTTTGAAAATCAAAGCACTGAAAGTACTGAAAAAAAGTTAGCATGCTTTCATCGATTATGTACAGTGTACAATAACAAAAATTGCCTTGAATGATGATTTTAAAGTAAGCATGCATATATTTGTCCAGTGTCATCAGCGAAGAAGCAGACACACTGAATTTTGTAGTACTTTACTAAATGGTTAAACCAATAACATCCCAGACTGATGTCACAAATGTATGTTTCAAATTATTAATCTGAGATTTTCAGCTTGAAAGACAGCAAGGAAGTTCAATTTCAAAAAATTATCCCAATTGTCTCCATTGGTGGCGTCCAAAAGTGCTCAGAACGAAAAAAAAATTATGTTGATGTTGCAAATTTAATTGTCTTTCATGCTCTATTGATTCTGAAATTAGGTAACTGTAAAGGCAGCTATAGCACGATAGCAAACAACTCCAAAAGAAAATAAAATGATAATTCAAATTCTTAAGAGTAATTGATTAGGAGTACTGTACATAGATCTTTAGCTGGCTAGTCTGAGAAAAACGGATGGACGAGCAGAGAATTTATTAATTTCAGAGAGCTTCAGTTTCGTAGGCTCACTGCGGGTCAGCAGGTGTAACCTGTCATTGGGCATGCTTACTTCTCCTAGGCACCGGAACTTTCAAGGATCCGTTTTTCTTTTGAGACCCGATCACTGTTCATTCTGTATTTTGATACAGATACTGAGTACATCTGTTTATTGATATTATGAACTATTTCTCTCGCAGGAAGAAAGACAAGTACACAAGATGATAAAGTTTAAGAAATGTACATTTTTGACTTTTCAAACAATTAAATTTTCGAATAAGTCAATGGTATATGACAATTATTTAAAAAAAGAGTCTTGAACGATATGTTTAAACGAACATATACTGAGTATTTGGTAAATATTTTTCATGCAATTTAAAAATTTTTACGACTTATACCTTGCATAGGAATTTAGCAAACTTTCAAAAATTATCATTTATTAGATATAATTTTCTATTTGTGCTAATTGTCAAGATTTTTCATGCCTCTTTTTTCTGTGCATATTTTATATCGGCTGATTTTTAGAAGAATATCGAATGCCGATTAATTTTTTTTCCAATTCTTTAAGATTAATTTTAGTATTTTCAGGGTCCCATTATTTTTATTTAAAATAAAAATGTGATCGTTTATTATCGTTTGTTGTTAATATGGGTCTATTGAAAACCTAACAATTAATCACAGGCACCTGAATTTTTATCATTTAGTCTCTAAATTAGCCAAATATCGAAACATTCTACCCCCTCTATTTATAAATACACAAGGTGTGCAACGCCATTTTGACCACCTGTTCGATTCAGGCTTCAATTTAACAAATAAATCGGATATGCCTGCTGGTTTTCGTGTAGCATTGGGTTCAAATATGATATTTCTCGCTATTTGCATTGATAATGTTATCAGCTAAACTTCATGCTGACTTTGAATTTCGTTACAGGGCCCGATCACCATCACCTGATGTCACGGAAATTAAATCTCGACACCAAATGCTCCTATACTTTTTTAATACAACAATTATAAATTTATTTCATTGACAAACACAATGAGAAAAAAAATGAAAAACCGAAAGATCACGTTGTTTTGATAGTCTTGATTTTATTAAACATATGTTAAATGTGTTAGAAACGAATCATAGGTAGATGCTTTGTTGAAGTTTCCGTTGTCGATAGGTAGCGCCTTATGGAGTTTCCGGTGTCGATAATTGCGTAATATCGTTGAACACATGCCATAAAGCGGTTAGCGAAGCTAACCGCCTAAAATTACCATTGAACATATGCTTCCTTATGATATATGTAGCGACAGGCATAAAGGGCTATAGAGAGATTGTGGATACATATATTGCGTACATTAAAGCATCTTGGGTAGCCAAGGGTTTCTGATACGCTACTCTCATCATAAACCCTTGGCATACGGTGTTCATAAAAATCGGGATTTTTTAAAACAGAATATTGATTGGATTTCATTACACACCTGTCGACTAATCATCATTTTTTTTATAAATGACGATATTTGCGTTCGGGATACTTATTGACTCTTTAGTCTCGGAATAAAAAAACGCATGTCAACAACGATCCGTGAGATAACATGCAATTCTATAAATAACTATGGTGTCATCCAATATCTTCTAAATATGTGATTAAGAATTTATATTGATACTTCCGATTTGTACTATGAATAATTAATTAACACTACTCAATTATTGCTTCTAAATTATTCTTGATAAAACTTTAATTTAACTTCAAATATGCGTCTTTATTTCTGTCGATGACGCAAGCTGTGCGTACCTGATAGATACAAGATCATGTGACGTAAACAATCCCGTCTTTTGACCTCAATGTATGCCAAGGGTTTATGAGGAGAGTAGCGTATCAGACACCCTTGGCTAGCGAAGATGACATGAAAGAAAAATATCATTTATTTATGCATCATTATTTTAATAATTATTGTGTATTTATATAGACTGGCACCCTGACATTGGTTAACGGGCGCAAGCGCCCTGAAAAACCAACTTTTAATTCCTAGCGGCAGCGACTGGAATCGAGCGCAGAGAACCAGTGCTAGAGTTTACATGTAGGACTCCAAAGTGCGATGGGACTCCAAAGTCCGATGGTCACGCCAAAGTCCGATGGTCTGCGCCAAACCCCTATGGTTTGACAGGCCAAAGTCCGATGGTGTGGAAAATAATTAACGTTCATGACGTCATAGTACTGCTGCGCAAAAATGAAATTCCGCTCCATCTCAAGCCCGATTTGTTTAAAATGAAATACAAATAAATATTAAATGCAAAGATTAACCCTAATCTTTTAGACATTGGTGCGAGACTTACACTTATCAGTCGAAAAATTTGTTAAAACTATAAGCTAGATATCTTGCATGGGTGCTCGACTTACTCAAATCAGTATAATAGTGTGCGAGGACTAACCAAAAAAATCTCTCGGGGAAACACATTGGTGTTCAAGAACTAACCATTATCAGTCGAATGGTCTACAGCGACTAGCCCTAATAGCTCTGGTGGGCGAAAACAATAAGCAATATCACTAAAAATGTATGTGAGACGAATACTAAAGCAATAGATTTTGAATGCAGGACAATGTCATGACGTGGGACTATTGTGACGTCATAAACGTTGATTGTTCCTCCGCACCATAGGACTTTGGCGTGTCAGACCATCGCACTTTAGCGTCGCGCGTCTCATAGGAAACGAGCCATAAGACTTTGGTGTGACCATCGGATTTGGCGTCCGTAAAGACCACGTGCTATCGGGTTTTGACGCAGACCATCGGGGTTTGGCGAGACCGTCGGACTTTGGCGTCACCATCGGACTTCTGAGTCTTACGTATATACTTTGCATTCGTGCGCAATATGATTCGGCTCACTGGATAGAGAACTTATCATTATTAAATTGAAGCTTATTGACATTTTTTCATTACATCATATGGAATTGATAACTTTCTCAATTTTTAAGAAAAAAAAATATACGAAATTGTTATATATCGTCACACACAAGTACATTTATACAGGTTGTAAATGTGAAAAAAGAGAAAAACAAATAAATGAATAAAAACTTTCGAACAAACATGTAAGTATATGAATGAAATAAATAAAATGATGTTCTAAGACGTTAATTGATGAATTGAAAAATATATATACATGAAATAATAGAAAAGGTTGATATTTTTTTGTCACAATGCATGTTTTATTTACATCAGATCCTGAATTTTCAATGGTTGCACTAAAATAAAATAGATCAAGACTATCCTTAAAAATAGATCAAGGTCAAGGCGGAAAATTCAAATTGAAATACAAGAAGAATATGTGGAAAATGGAATTTTCATTATATTTTAGGATCACTTTTTATCTTCCAGTATTATATATGTGTTAAGATCAGGTAAGAAATAATAATTCAAAAATATGATCTGGATCATAGTCATTAAATTGGGATTTAAAATTGTTCAAATATAACGGTCTTAGTGAGTGGTAGGACAACAACTGGGAATCAGAATTTTACGTGTGGATCTGACTTCCCAAGAACAGCAAAGTCATTAAGTGATTGCTCGAGTTTATTCAAACCATCTGGAGGCAGATATGAAGTCACATTAAGGGATTAATGCAAGTTTTACATACATGCATGCACCATGCATGAGCATGTATTGAAAAAACAGCATGTCAACAATGATTCATGTATACAAAAAAAAAAATCATTTTTGAAGAAAAGATTCAATTTTATTCAATTCATACCCCCACCCCATTTTGAGTATGATCTGGGCATATCATACATATAACAGATCGAAGTATTACATCAGTCATTATACCCCAGGGTTTTTTTGAAGAATTGGGCACAAAATGGGGAAGATTTTTAATGTAATCTATCTATATAGAAAAAAAATCTTCAGAAAAGCAAAGCAGAGCTTATATGTTTCAGATAAACATTATTGCCAATAGGATTAATTCATATACAGATTCAAGTTTGTTTAAATCTTTACCCTATGCAGAATGCTGGGCAGGATGGGGTACCATATTGGTAAATGTTTTTATTACAATGTAGCAAAACATCTCCTAACGAAGAGCACCGTAAGGGTTAAGAGTTTAGAGTTTATGTGTCTCATGGGAACCTTGTGCATGTTGGACCGATTGGCCACTAGCGAACTGTCCTAATAGTAATGATCTATTTATTTTTTTTAGACCCGGAGAGAAAGCTTTGGCAGGCGAGACAAGCGTAGGAATTTGATTTAACTAACATTTTCTGAAATCAGCAGGCAATTTCTATGCTGGACAGAGGTAACCACAGCAATTAAACATCCTTCCTTTAACATATTTTTCTTTTATTTTTCTTTTTCAAAGGAAAAACTCAAAATAATCATTTCATGAAGTACTGTTCATAAAAATTAGTAGGCGTTGCTTCCTACGTACCTCATAAATTATTTTAAAGTCATTTATTTCCATAGCCTAAGTCTTGAAAAAAGGTATTAAAGAAGAAGGTATGATTTTAGCTTTATTGCGCCCTAAAAATGTAATGACATCAAAAAATGACTCTGATAAATCAGGAAAGAATTCCCATTCTGCAAATATGACGTCATAAATGTAAAGCATTTCTCTATTTACAACAGAAAAAGCCTCAAAATGGCACATTTCAAGGGTAATTTTCTTTTAGAAAACAGTGTCCACAGCCGTCGCCCACGTTATTTTTTATATTTATACCCCCCTCTTGAAAAGCGGGAGGGTATATAGTAATCGTTAATTCCGTCCGTCCGTCCGTCTGTCTGTCCGTCCGTCTGTTACGCTTTGGGGTACCCATCTCTTATCCGTAACTCCTCTCATACCACTGAATGAAATTTGACGAAACTTTCACAGAATCTTTATTACATTTTGCCATTGTGCACCTCCTATTTTACTTTTTTATCCGACACATATTTTGGGTTTCCCGGCCACAGGAAAACATGGACTTTTTCACCTGTTATTACCATATGGGAAGCGGGGGGTCTCATTTAGTGAGCTCATTGCTCCCAGTACCTCTAGTTTGTGCAAAATTCAATAACAAATAAGATATCTCAAGATCTTTGTGGGCGATGCCTGTGGACAATGTTATCTGAAAGAAAATTTCATTGAAAATTGGTGTCTTCTGCAACTTTTTAAGAATATACGGGAAAATGCACATGTTTATGATTTCATAATAAGCATTTAAAAAAACACATAATTTTATGAGAAAAATTACTTGTATGATTTTTCTGCATTGAATTTCAATTATTTAAAAAGCATGAGTTTTCAACTTTTACACCAGTTTCATTTTTTAGAAAATCACAGGGCAAAATTTGTATGGAAACCATACCTTCTTCTTACTATCCTGAGATGTCACTATACATTTGGTGTTCAGAACACTGCATGTATCCAGATGTTAATTAAACGGCGAAGTTCATGCAAACTCAGTTTTTCTATGTATGTTTACAATCAAAAGTGATCAATGTTTTTCAATTTTAACCACTCTGAATATTGATTTCTTTAGGACATAAGTACATGTCACATCATTTTTCTTGGAAAAAAAGTTCTTAAAAATAGGATTATTTGAGTAAGTAACCCTTGTTTTGTTATATATAATTACATTGTTTTTACTTTTTTTTTTATCCCTATACCAATATTATTTTTGTTAAATATTTAAAAACATATATATTTCTTTCAGCTGGCCACCCTTCTGAAGAGGACAGGCGAAAGTGTCCGAAACCCAGGCATCAGTGTCTGTGTAAAGGGTACACTGAAGCTTCTAGAACCGAAGCAAGATGGATTTCATCTTCATCATATTAACATTGAGGATAATGTTATTAAGCTGTCCTAGAAACATTTCCTGTTTACAATTTCGGAGGGAAACTGTAATCATTTTTACGCTGACATTTTGTCATAGCTATCATAAAACACAATTTAATGCTAAAAATCTAGGAAAGAGGTTAAACCTTATGAATTAAAAAAAGGCGTTTAAAATATTAAGGAAACAAGGACGATACACAGCGAAAAGAAAAAAATATGTAAATCATGGCATTACTTGACATCGATCCCCATGTAGTACGACACACTAAAGTATGAATGATATGCTACTCCCAAAAAGAAAAATACGCGGGTATTTTAAGGAAGTATATAAATCATTTCTTGGGAAATTGATAAGAAAATTAAGTTCGATAATTTATTCAAACCACTGATGAACGTAAACTATAATTAACTATTGCATAAAGATAAAAAAAAGTGTCTAACGCAAAGACATGCACCACCACCACTGCATCACGTGACTTCTATTTATAGAGAAATGTTCGAACAGAACAACAATACCATGAGTTTAATGAATTCTTTGAGTAAATAATATAGTAGAAAAACATCTATTTTGCGTAAAGAGTGCTGCCAGAATCCCACTGTCCTGTCGGTAAAATAATTATTCAACACATTCGTACGAAACCTTACCCGATGTTTTGAATTTTATACATATGAACCGAGATTTTTCGTAAAACCATGCCTAACTCGGGATTCTAGCAGCACTTTCCAAGTATCTTAGAAGCGAACTTTTCATCTGTACAAACCTTATTTTTTGAAATATCCAGCTTAGTGTTGTTCTGCATTATTTTTGTCAGAAATGACAGAGGAAAGACCAACTAGGATACGTTTTTAGCTGACTGTCTTCAAAAGAGAATATAATCGATGAAAAAAAAATTGCATACCTGTATGATTAACTGAACTCAATTTGAATTTCACATAATATTCACGGTATTTGCTTTTAAATTCTATTTTACGTATCTCTGTATATGCCTTTCTTAGCCAAATTCTCTTCATGACATGATCAATTTCCAAGTTACTTGATGAACACATATGACGTCATCGATGGTAGATTTTAATCAAAATGACAGCTAGAGCATAAGAAAATAAAAACATTTTATTTTTGTTAATTTTTAGACGTTTCAATTCATTTTCTAGGGTAAAATTACATCTCTAAATACCAATATTACGAAAACTTCTGTTGTAAAATTGACGACATCTCGCCTACTAATACGTCATAATGTATCAATGATTTAGTCAAGGTAGAATATTCTGTATGTTTCCTTATCACCCCTGCGTAGCCCCCCCCCCCCCCCCCCCCCCGTACACGATTGTTTCTTCTACCCCCATCTATTTTATGAAGGAATAAATAAAAGAATAAAAATAAAAAAGAGTAACAGAGTAACGCTTTATTTCAGATTGGGGGATGCAGACAATCACTAGAAAGTTTAAAAGAGAGCATAAGTTGTCCAGTAAATAAATTTGAATGGGAAGCAAGAGCACAAGCGATGCAGTGTGAAATGTATTCACAGAACTGCACCGACAAGTCTTTTTTTGTGTACCATTGCCTGATAAATCCATGGTCTAATGGCACAATAGAAGTTTGCGCTCCGATGGTTAAAATATTGGGTAAATATTCATGTTTCCAAAATCCTGAAACATCTATCTACACATGCAATTCACAGATGAGAGTTCTAGTTGCAATGTTATTTGCATTTACAAATAATAAATGAGATTTATTTAGTATAATTATATTTTTTTAAGGTTTTATACATCCGCCGAAAAAAGGTTTTATGAATGTAAAAATCATTCCTTTCGTGTTTCCTTTTGTTTATTTGTTTGAACAGATAAACAGCTAAGTGGCCATATGGTCTTCTATTATACATCTAATTTTAAAACATGCTCATTACAGGCAATAGATGTGCTGAATTCAACATTGGAGGGAAACTTGTACAATCGAACTATGAAAAAACATGTCAATTATGCCCATTCAGATACAATTCTTCAGAGAGTTACAAATGTAAGTTTTTTTTTTATAAGATTTAATTTATAATTCTAATTATTATTTAAATTTGTAATAAAAGCCAGTGAAGCAATAGAAAAACTTTAACACACTGTCTCGATATATTTTTTTTTTCAATATGTAGAATTCAAAAAATGGCTGATACAATTTTCGAAAAATCTTTTGACTTTCATATTTTTGATGTTTTACAATTTATAGGGATTATACGGATTTCGCGGCAGGATAAATTATTATTTAAAAAAACATTCTTATACCAAATATCAGAACTACCCTACATTTATAATCAATTATTTATATCATGCGTTTGATGTCAATACAGTAATACATGCTTATGGCGAGCAGGCTTATAAAGTATTCGCGATTATAGCAAACTGATGGTCAATCCCATTGTCTATAATGAATTGAAAACTTGACGGACATAACGAATAAGCAAAATTGTCAGTTCTTGGCACTTTGTTATAAACTTTTTTTCCTGTATGATACTTTATCCACATGGGGAACACATTATTCACAGAGCTCGAAATGCAAAGTGATTATTTTACAAAAGGACAATTTTTTTTCATATGATTCAATGATTAATTGATAGAAACTCATTAACGAATCCATGTCTTTTCAATTTCGTACCTATACTTATATAACTTCCTAACTAAAGCAATGCAACGAGGCATGTGGTATATTTTAAAGCAGGGGCGATTCCTTAGGGGGAGATTAATATCTTATCTGAAAAATTTAATTTCCCAAACTCCAAATGATGATTTCAGGGATGAGTGAACACGATAAGGCCCTTGCATCAGCAAGACCGATTCTATGTACCTTATATATTAATCGATGTTATTTTATACAGAGTGGAGGTTGGGTGTTAGTGATATTATAATAATATTTAATAAATATTTGCATCAATTTGGACGTTCTAAACCTATTTTATATCCAATCTTTTTATTTATAAGATTTTTTTTATTTAAGAAGGCATCTGTGTGACATCAGATTATTTGTTGAAAGCTAGGACTTTTTCAATAATAAAAAACATTATACTGTAAATGTATTATATTTGGCTTGTACGATATTTGACGGAAATTGAATTTTCAGCAAGTTGGCGTAGATTTGATTTAGCGCTTTTTGAATGTGCATTACAGAAACCTTTATACACAAAGCATTTAGCGATGTACTTGATTTAGCGGAGGCTGCTTTCCGCGAAAGGCGCTAAAAAGAATACACAGCCAAATGTAATACGTTTACAGTATACTCAACAAAGAAAGAAACGCATATTGCTTTACTCGTCAAAGAAATTTTTCAAATGTACATGGAACAACTATCTTTTATATCATTGGATACCTGTGACCTATTTAAAGGACAACAAAGGGTTTTAACGCGTTTATGAAAGTAGTGTTTTTCATGATTTCTTCTGAATCGGACGTCTATTTTCGCTGATATTTTGGATTTAGAGAAACTATCAACACTCCTACTAAACCCATATTTAAGATTTGATTGCAGAGTTGATGCTTCAATGCCACGCCGAAACAAAGATAAACACAACCAGGCTAACGATGATACTAAACGGAGTTGCGCAACAGGAAGTTGCAACTGCATTTGGAATACATCAATGGGCCTTGCAGGCGTTTAACTATCGTCGGAAGACCAAGAATTAGCCGTCCGCAGGTAACCACACCCAGACAGGACCGTCTGACCCCCCCCCTTCAGCACCTCACGCGATTCAGAACTTGCTCTAAAACCTGCTGCTACAATTGCTGGATAAAAAAAAATCAGCATAAAAGTGCATAAATTGTTCGCAAGATACTGAGGAGCTGGTATTCATACACGACATCCGTATATTGGAAATCCACCAGCGCTTAGACGTTGCAAAGGACATATGGATTAGTTTAGACGGTATGCCCCAAGAATTTGGAGGGGTCGACCATGACATAAACTTCACTTTTCTACTCGCAATACATGATATGTTTAATTTTTATCAAAACCCTCTAATGTCACTTTTGAAAAAGATAAGGATTAAACTGAAAACTTAGATTATCATGTTTAATCTGAATATGCGTTTCTTTTTTTGTTGAGTATAGTAATAATTTACTTAATCATTTTACTTTCAAGATTTTTTTTTTCCTCTTCTGGATGTTTGTATTTTGGATCTTCCATTCTAATACATGTAGGTGCATGTAAATGTTATTCATATTCTTTCTGTTGTATACATGTTTAATGATAAGATAAATTAAGAAAGGGAAGAAAGTTATCTAGAATAATGACACATCGGTAAGAGTAATAGAGCTATTTGTTTTTCTTTCACCTTTTCATCCGATTTCTTGAAAATTGTATAATGCTTTTGATGAAAATGTTGATAATAATTTTAGATCAAGAGTGTTATAAATTGGCTAAGAAACCAGAACTAACCACGATACAATCAACATCCTCGAAAGAACTTACACACATTACTGTTGGAGGAAAACCAAACAATGTTTCATACAGTAGGAATCACACGTAAGTTAACAAACTGACATTAAAGATTGTAAAGTCACAGTATGAGATTAGTGTTCTCATTTTTTTCTAACATAGTTTTTTAAATTGATTGTTGTGTAAAGGGGGTAAAGAATTAGTACTCTCTGTCAAAGCTTTAGATTACTAAGACGAATTCAAGCTTTTTCACTAGTAATGATAACGTGTATTTGGTAGCCTACAACTCACATTATGGCCAAAAAAAATTGATTTTAATCATATATCCATGAATATTCATCCTATCCGAAACAATTTTTCTATAGATTAATTTGATGCTTTCACTCATGCTGTTGTTTATTCGAAAAAAAAAAACCTATTTGGTGGAGTTAAAACCTTTCAGTACTTTATATGATTAATCAAAGGTTATATCAGATACACCTTTCATGTTCATTTTTTTCCAAAAAGGTGTTTAAATACGAACTGTGTAAAAAAAACGTAAGAAAAAAACTGAGGCATATGTTTCTAGCCTTGTTTTTGATAAGGTATTTATAAACTAGCACTTGTACGTAACAACAGTTCCTGTATTTGATCTATTGTGCCCGAAATAATTCACATAGAAAATGTATTGCGTCTAAGTTGCTGTACTCAAAATCTGATTTTCGGATTAATATTTTTAAGTACATGTACTTAAAATTGAATTAACTTTTTTCAGACAAAAACCTGGTTCTGGATTTAAAGAACAGAATACTGTGATTATAGTAGTAACTCTGGCTTGTGTGACATTTTTCTTAATATGTGCAATAGCATTTTATTCAATACGAAAGATTCGACGGTGTAAAAGGAAAGAAACAAGAGGTAAAGGTCACTGGGTGCTTATTTTCAGACAATATATTAAGCTTAGATTGGTTATGATATAAATGTATTTAGACTGTTGTTTTTTTTTTCAACTATGGAAACTTTTTCAACTATGGAAACTTTTTCAACTATGGATAAAGAACGGAGAAAAATTTCTTAATACTTATTAAAGTTAAATGCTTCATTATAATATTTTGGAATTAATTAAACCAGGGCGGAGAAAACTGCGCGATATTCATATCGTTTTTCAAATTCTGATTCTGATTCATCTTAAGGCATGTAAAAATAATCTTGTTTATGATACCGTGATTGAATGTACCAGTTTCGATATTTTTGATTGAAAATAAATTTACAACCAAATATATCTTTGAATTTTATGGTTTGCTAAAAGAAATCTTTTCGTCCAAAACAAGGAAACATCCAATCCACAGATAATAAAACGGGAAATGGTCTATTGAATAATATGGATGAAAAAATAGCACTTGTTTAAAAGATATATTTTGATTGACGTAAAGTAAACCGTTAATAGGTAGTCTAATATATGTCTCATTTTCCAAAGAATGGAAAAAAGTGTGCTCAGCAAAGTAAACAAGGGAAAACAGATGCAAGAAAATATTTTACTTTAGAAGTGAAAAAAAGGAAGTATAAAGTTTCAATGAACAACTAGTTTGATTCATACGAATACCAAGTCATGTTTGCATTTTTATCAAACTGAAAGATTTTTGATAGTAATTTCGTGTATATTAATACGAAGTTTATGTATATTAATATAAATGAATATAGATAATACTAGATATCCATGTACAATATATGTGTTTACGTAAGAGGCCGAAGCATATTAAATATGGTGTAATAAGTTGAAGAAGAAAAAAGTAAAACATCATCATGCTTCCTTGAGGCTTTTCAAAAATAGCAAATTAGATTTGTATTGAAGTCCGGATCCTCCCCCACAGAAACAAAACTAAAGCTAAATCCACAATAAGACAATCGATTTGTGTTTAAAAACGAATTGAATGTAGCAGTTAAGGAGATATGAAAAAAAAAGTACGAAGTACGATATCTTTGTAAAATCCTAAAATTGGAAAAAAAAATTCCTGCGATTCGAAAACGAAATCAAAAAAGGTTTTGTTTTTTTGTTTTTTTCCCATTTTAAGGTTCAACACATTTTACATATACATATATCAGACCGGGTATATTTTAATTCCTTTTCGGTGTTTAGTTTATTTATATTCGTTTGTTTTACACTAGAAAATACAAATCCCAGAGAAGTTGAAACAGAGGAGAGCCCTTTGAATGAAACAGACGAAGAAAAACCATCCAGTTCAAAAGGTGTATTACAATTTCAGAGACATTTAGCGAACTCAACTTTGTAATTAAAGTACAAAATAGAACAACTCTAATTAGATTTATGTGTATAAGTATAATTGACATCTGTAACTAGTTATGTAGAAATATGATTTAAATTATATGAGGAATGGCGTTTATGAGAAATTGTTTATAGACAGGCAGACATTCCAAGGACTAAGGGCACCTTAAAACGTATAAACTCTTCTGGTCTATCCCTAGTGCTTTGAAAACATTTTCCCAAAAGTAAAAAAAAAATCCTAACTATTCCAATTAACAGAAAGCTTTGTAGATTTGTAAACACCAATAGAGCTACGTTTTCACCAGACTTTTGGTTTTATTAGTTTGAATTGAAATTTGTTGATTTATAAATGATGAATGAGGGAGCGATAAACTATCAAGATATTTGAATATTCTTTTTGCAAAACGTGTTTGAAATATCATTTGTTTTGTAGTAACCATTGAGGGAGGAGCGATAAAGAATCCTCTGCACATGAGAACACACTTCTTGAAAGATATTTGCAAAATGGAAAACTGTGAGGGAGGAATGGATGTTTTAAAAGAAAAAATTGTCCAATCTCCACATTTTCATATGTATAATAAATACATGTCCAAAACGAGTTTTCAAGGAAGGAGCGTAACAGGAAACTGGCGTGAAGACATAGGTATAAAAGCAGCAGCTGTCATATTTAAACTGAAAATATACGTTCATCAAAGTAATGAAAACAAAACCACAGTCTTTTTTCCGAAAGACTCTGATACAGCTAAATGGATGAGTATTTCCATCGATAAAGAAGGCCATTACAATCATTTATCAGGTAAACAATTTTCTGTCTGTCTTATTTTTATCTTGCGCATTGCTAAGTGAGTAGAATGTGTATCTCTTTAAGGCTACTTGAAATGATTCAAAGACAATGCAATGAAACTGATCGGAAATCAAATCTTTCATTTATATTGGAAAATAAGGGAAAACATTATTTTAATGTCTTGATTCTGGTCAAATATCATGAAAAGAAGACTTTTTGTTTTGATTACTGTATATTTCAAATTATTCAATGTTACATTTAACCACAGACCTTCGATTGCAGAAAACTATCAATCAGAATCAGAATTCTGAATTAAACTGTATTAAAAGTTTTAATTAAAAGGATTGTATAAATAAGACTTGGTCATTAAGAGCAGAAGTTGTCTGAGACTCTGGGCCTCTTTTGATTATATTTGATATAATAGCTTTTATTATATTTGATATGATTGCTTTTTTGCAGCATTTAAAAATTTTCTTCAGAATAAAATTTATTTTACAACTGTTGTCAAAGTTGTGACAGTCTTTATGCTTACCATAGGCGAAGGATCAGATGTGTTTTGATATTGCAGGATGTCCGGCATCCGTGAATTGTTTGTAAACCTTTTGCATCTGTATTTGTTATTTACTGACCTATCCACTAGATGAGATACGAGTTAAATTTTCCGAAACAGACTTATATTTTTGAAAATGGTTAAATTTTAGGAGCTGGATGCATTCTACAATTACTTTCAGTCACACAGCGGCTTTATTTCCTTGTAAAATATTAAAAAAGGTTCAGATGTTAATTTTGACTTACTTGCCCATTTTTTTAGACGAGTCAACAGATTATTTCTTTTAAAAGGTTCATTCCAAAGTACCTATCTGGTGTACCAGGACCGAAATTGCTTATATGATGAATTTAGCAAAGAATGATAACCCCCGTTCACATATAGTCGCCGCTTCTACTACGATCAAAGCGTGGCCGATCGTGACAAATCGCAAGAGAAACGTCGTGGAGTCGTCATAAGCATAGTATGATTGCAGTAGAGTCTTCATGATCGGAGAGCCCTAAGCTGTCACCACGCTTATATTGAACATGTCCAAAACAAGCGTAGCGGGATCGTGGCCTACAAGAATCGGGGTTAAGTCGTACAAAGAGCGTAGTAGAAGCGCCGTAATCGTACAAGCAGCGCAGACATCGTAGAGAAATCTTCGTGATCGTAGTAAAAGCGCCATAAGAGCGTAGTAACTTACCAAGTAAGCTCATACAACGCTCCTTCTACGTTCGTACTACGTTCTCACTACGATCTCTATACGTTCCTGAAGATCCTACAAAGACCTACAATGACCTTACGACAATCATATCACGAGACAGGAGTTTGTTCTTATAGCGCTGATATTTGACAAATCATCATCTTTAAACTACATGTAAAGGGTGACACTATTCGTGAAGATCATTTGCAATGGAGACTTTTCACATCTTGTTACATTTACAATTGAAAATGCCCGTGAACCATGTGGTAAAGGCCGCAAAAAAAAAAAAAAAAAAAAAAAAAAAAAAAAAAAAAAAAAAAAAAAAAACTGCGGTCGCAAGATATGTATCATCGCTAAAATCGTACTACAAAAATCTGCGGTTGCAAGATATATTGAAATCATCGTCAAAATCGTACTAGAAGCGTAATGCAAATCGTAATATGATCGGCAATACCGTAACGACATAGCGGTACAGTCATCTGGGTCTGTGTAGCGTCGTAGTATGGTCTTCAATGTCGTAGTGGTAGCGTAGCGTAAACACAGTAAGCACAGCCGCTTGTCGGCAACTGTCTACGTAACATCGTAGTAGAGGCGTGTTAGTAGCACATTTGACGTAGGGACATCGTATTACGGTCGTAAAGAAGACCATCATTTGCCAAATTGCTCTATTTAGACGCCGATCGGTTGCTACACGTATCTACCTCCAAAAAAATTCCAGATCGTGGCTTGATCGCCGTAGAGTCGCAGCTCTGTGTGAATAGGGGGTCAAAGACTTAATTCAGATGAATAATTTGACTAAACTCTTCAGGAGGAGTGAGCAGGTTGCAATTTTTTACTATGATTTTTCCTAGGTTACTGGAGGCGCTATCTGCACGAAGCTTTTATACATAATGCATCGAAAGATGAACACTACTACACGTTCAATGAATAAATTGAATTTAGTGAAAAACTAAAATATTATGAAGGATTCAAGTTGCAAAAAAATATAATCCCTATAATTATTCTTCTGTTAATATGTTTCTATATAAAGTTCAGAAGGAAAAATAACTTTTATAGTCTATGCATAGCAAAGTTATACCCTGTGGTATAGTTTTTACTATCCACCCTCAGAATTTTCCCGAAAATTTTGATTTCCAGCAATAAAATCTATTGACTTAAGATATCATTATGACTTCAGTAGCAGTAGGATTTTAAGTTATTCTTGCAGCATTATCTTACTCCAAAAAAGTTCAAACCTCAAAAATGATATTATACATTAGTATAATAAAACAGTTATCCACTGGTTGTGAGTGAGTTAGCTCTTTCATCAAACCATTGACAGGGACTATTCCCCTCGGGCAATCCCTCGGGGCATAGCTCCCTGTTGCGGGATTGATAAAAGAGCTATCCCACTCACAACCAGTGATTAAGTGTATATAATCACCCAACTTTACTTAAGATGCATCTAGGTATATATATTCTACTAGACTGGCTTCCAGTGTTTTCCTTAATGTATAAACATATCGAATGTTTAATTAAAAAATCATTCTTAAGAAAATTGAATCCCTATCTGGATGGAACTTGCATGATTGGTTCATTTTGGGATGCCTATCTTCAGATTTGCTTCGTTGCTAGATATATTAATATACATTTTCAAGAGGATGAACTAGATTACATCCTACAAAAAAATAAACATTAATTAATTGTGCATCTAGAAATGCACACTACGACACTTGTTTAGGATGTTGGATTTGGAACAGGTTAAAGCTCTTATAACAGCATGAGTTGCAAGTAACAAGATGCCTTTCTTGACAAAACTTTCATTGATGATGTATTTAAGATTGCACACTACCAAACTTGCTCCGGGTGCTGGCTTTGGCCAACGTTGCTTTGAATGAGTAAACAAACATACCTCACTTTTTGCATCAGTTTGTTTGCAAAAAGATTTAAGTCTTACTTGGCGGTGTAATAATGCATCTAATAATACTAAAGATTCTCTGACCTTTTTCATCAAAGCAAGTTTATTCTTTATGACATGTATACTACTTGTATGGGCTTTGAGGTAACTGAAATTTCAGAAATTATGAATTTAGGGATTTAGACTTCAGACTTCTTTTGATAGTAGGTAAATGGGACCTGTGTTCTCTAGGTGATTGAAGGGGTTGAAGTGAGAGAGTTGAGCTATGCCAAGCAATATGGTCTTTAGACACGCATTGCTATTAAATGTTAATGTTGATGCATATTAAATTATCTGGTTTGAAAGTTGGTCATTGAAAAATTTTATTTTCTATTTTTCTAGTTAAACTTTACTATTAATGTTGTGTCTAGGTTGTATCATAACTTTGTTTGTTGTGAGGCTTTACGTTACTGGTTGATATGAGCTTAATTATCTTCAATACCTAAATACATTTTTTCACGTTTTGCAGACTGGACCACTTTAAATGAAGATGAAGCAATGCTGATGTTTGATGATATATATGAAATACCAGGTAAAATAGATAGAACATACATGTACCAATAAATCAAGCATTGAATAAAAACATCTTTAAGTTAAATCAGCAAAACCATTTATCGCAATTTGTTGCTGTTTTTTTTTTCAAAATGATAATTATATTTTTTCATATATGTTGTAGAACTTCTTAGGAAAAAAAGTCTGATTGATTGTTTATTGAAAGACTGCATTGGGGTCAACAATTTGATGTGAATATACATGTATTAGGATTTAGGACGGGATCCTAACATACTGTGCAAGTGCATAAAGCCAGCGGAAAGATATATATTGCCATATATTCTTGATGTATATGTACTTTTATTTTTAAATTATTTGCTTATGCAACATTTTTTTTTATTTTAATTGATGCATGTCCGTCATTTTGTTATTGCATACGTACATGTAACCTCAATTAGATTATAAAAGTATTAGTAAGAGTAAATTTGTAAACAATCCGAGATATAAGATTCAATTAGTTCATAAATGTTAACTATCCTTTTCTTTCTTGTAGATATTTAATTAAAAGAGGGTGTTTCAAGCAAAAGCAATACTATCATTAGACAATTTGAATTATCATTTTCTGACTTGTCGATTTTACTCCCTCCCCCATCCACAACACATTTTATATTTCGATAAAAAAAAACATAATTCAGCAGGATTCAGCTTTATTTTTGCTTGGATAATTTTTAGTCCTCGCGGGTATGTTAAGGAAGCATATAAATCATTTTTCAGGAAAATTAGACTTTTTAAAGAAAATTAAGATTGATAATCTACCAAATCCGCTGATAAACGTAAACTATTATTATTTATTGCATAAAGATAAAAGAGTTTCTGACGCAACGACGTGCACCACCACCACGGCATCACGTGACTTCTATTAATAGCAAAATGTTCCTTAATAAAAAAGCTAACAGAACAACAATACTCCGGAGTTTAATAATTTCTTTGAGTAAATGATGTAGTTGAAAAACATCTATTTTGCCTAAAAAGTGCTGCTAGAATCCCACTGTCCCGTCAGTAAAATAATTATTCCACACATTCGCAATAAACCTTACCCGATGTTTTGATTTTGTTTACATGTGAACCGAGATTTTTCGTAAAACCATGCTTAACTCGGGATTCTAGCAGCACTTTCAAGGTATTTTAGGAGGCAAACTTTCAATCTGTACAAATCTTATGTTTTGAAATATACAGCTTATTGTTGTTCTGGTGCATTATTAGGGCCCCGCAAGAATTTGCGGGTGCCCTATAGTAATCACTCTGTCCGTCCGTCTGTCTGTCTGTCTGTCTGTCCGTCTGTCACTCTTCCGTCCACAAATTTTCTGTTTTTTTCTAATAACTTTTTTTATGGTTGCCCAATCAAGTTCAAATTTGGTATGGTAGTTCAGTAGGCAGAAATACATATTTTGATGCTAAGTTTGGTTCTCTATGTCTTCTAGTTTGGAGCTGGGGTGGTGGGGTAGATTCCTTAACTATGCATAAGAATGAATGGGCAACTTTTTTTCTGGTTGCCCAATCAAGTACAAATTTGGTATGGTAGTTCAGTAGGCAGAAATACATATGTTGATGCTAAGTTTGGTTCTCTTTGTCCCCAGGTTTGGAGCTGGGGTGGTGGGGTAGATTCCTTAACTTTATATACGAAAGCATTGGCAAAGAGAGATAACTGCTGAAGATGTTCCCATTTTAAACTGAATGCTGCAATGAGTCCCTTGGGATTAATTAGCTTTCCTCCTGAAGAAAATCCAGAGCATTATCTTTATCTGTCAAATTGAGATGAATTTCCACCTCTGTCTGCAAATGAAGTTTGTTTTGAAGTTAAGTCAATTTTCAATTTGGAATGCTATGAACACTCTGAAATGTGGATTTATATATAAATTTTTATAATTTATTTTTGTTTAATAGTTATGATTTCATTGAATTCTAATAACAAGAAATAGATTAAACAAGATTTTTTGATTTACTTTTTTTCACTTTATGTTAATTCAAGAACATTATCAATTTTTAGGATAGTTGTATAAAAACTCCATTCTATCATTAATACTGAAAAAGTTCTTATTGTAACTTTAGAAGAAAATGATGAGAGAGATACAATTAATCCCTTGGGATTAATTATCTAGCCTGCTGCAGAAAATTTAGTAGGCTTTTCTTCATCTGTCACTTTAAGATTAATGTAAACCTTTGTCTGCAACTGCTGTTTGTTTGAAGTTAAGTTCAAGCCTTCATGATATTTGCATTCATTGAAGGCTGGCATTTGATATAACACAAGCTTCATAATTGTTTAAATATACATTCAATGTTAAGTTGTTCTTTACTGCCTAATGTAAATACAAGGATATTATTTTCAGGTTTTTGAATATTTCAGGAATTATTTTGAAATTTTAAGAATATAGTTGCTGTTGCTTATTCTTCGTACATTTTTTAATCATTCCGTAATCTGCACCCTATTAATTCTACTCCATGGCGGGGCCCTTGCTGACTGGTCAGTTTTCTAGTTTTTGTCACACATGACAGAGGAAAGGCCGACCGGGAGACGTATATAGCTGACTGTCTTTTAAAGGGAATATTATCATTGAAAATAAATTAGCATACCTGTTTTATTAACTGAACTCCATATGAATTTCACAAAATATCCACAGTATTTGCTTTTAAACTCCATTTTACGTATCTTGGTACATGTCGTCTTAGCCAAATTCTCTTTACACGACTTGATCAATTCTAAAGTTACTTGATGTACACATATGACGTCATCGGTGGTATATTTTAATAAAAATGACAAAATACAGCATAACAAAATAAAAACAATTCATTGTTGTTAATTTTTACACGTTTCTATTCATTTTCTAGAGTTAAATCACATTTCTAAATACCAACATTACGAAAACTTGTGTTCTAAAATTGATGTCATCTCTCATACTATGACGTCATAATGCAGCACTGAATTAGTCAAAGTTGAATATTTTGTATGCTTCCTTATCCCCCCTGCGCTGTTTTTTTTTTTTTTTGAAAGTGAAATTTGGGTCTGTCTGTCTGTCTATTTGTCTGTTTGTATTTCTCCCTTCGAATTCAATTCAAAGTATCAAAGTTCAAGGTTATAAACTTATGCATTATGTCTCTTGGTAAAAATTTCATTCAAAGATCCTGTTAATAAAAATGACAAAATACAGCATAACAAAATAAAAACAATTCATTGTTGTTAATTTTTACACGTTTCTATTCATTTTCTAGAGTTAAATCACATTTCTAAATACCAACATTACGAAAACTTGTGTTCTAAAATTGATGTCATCTCTCATACTATGACGTCATAATGCAGCACTGAATTAGTCAAAGTTGAATATTTTGTATGCTTCCTTATCCCCCCTGCGCTGTTTTTTTTTTTTTTTGAAAGTGAAATTTGGGTCTGTCTGTCTGTCTATTTGTCTGTTTGTATTTCTCCCTTCGAATTCAATTCAAAGTATCAAAGTTCAAGGTTATAAACTTATGCATTATGTCTCTTGGTAAAAATTTCATTCAAAGATCCTGTTTGAATTTTATTTCCCTTGGCGCTTATTTTAGGACATAGGTATAACGAGAGATATGAATACATTTAATAAAAATAAAGATTCTCGATAAACCATTAAGTTATATGGTGTAAAAACTATTTAATGAATGCTAAGGTGGATATTGAGATAACGAACAGTGTTTAATCTCAAAGTCCATAAAACAATAAAAAATAGGAGCAGAGAAAACATGAACTTCCGAAACATCAGAGGTGGGATCAGGTGCCATGGAGGAGTGAACAACCCATTGTTGACCGGTCATACTCGCCCTGAGCTCCTTGTCATGATCAGGAAATAGCAGGGAAATCCATTGTCAAATCAGTGTATAAATTATGGACTAACACTTTGTTTGAAAAACGTCAGTAAGCATTTGACTCAATGATTCATTGAATTTGCTGAAAAGGTCATTGTGTCGACTATAGAACTTACGAAATGATGACTTTAAACGAGACTGCTGATATTCTTACAACATCTTAATCAAACTAAACTAATATCCGATGCGTCATCAAACGTCATAATTTTTGTATGTTGTGTTTACCATTTCCCATTGGATTGCTCGGAAAGCTTCCAAAATGTAACTGGTTGCCTTGACATTTTTGATTCGAAAAAGAATAATTTTTATTCCAATCTTACGTAATTTTTTTTTTATTTCTAATCAGTACTCATGTTTTCTCAAATAAAACTTCATTTTACTGTGCGCCGTAGAAGAATACCCTGTACCAATTCAAGGGTAATAAAATCTTTATTTCGTTTATATTTTGTGAAAAAAAAAATCCATTTAAATTTGATTAGTAAACATTTACTGAAAATTTCAGCTTAGTGCGTACACTATTAATTGAGAAAACCGCTTTGTCGAATAGTTACCGGACAACCCACGAATATATTTTCGAAACAGGCCCAAAAAAATCGAGAATAACACGCGGATACAAATATGGACAGTTTTTCAATTTGCGCCCAATTTCATTCAGCTATGTGCGGCACATTATATCATTCTACATTGCATTGTGATAAATATTTTATTTAAGTATTATTTATACACATTTTTAAAGAATATGAAATCAAATGTCTATATCATTATTTATATTTACCGTGTGAAAGTTTTGTATTAATCTCATTTTCATTGAATGTGATTTTGTATTTGTTTTTTTTTTTATATCTAAATAAATTAACTATTATATAATTGCTTTTCGACAAATTGAATGTACACTCGAAATACCCAAAATATAAGGATGAAGTTGAGTTAGCGATACATACATAAAATTTTAATTTACCTAATTGTTCCGTTTAAAATTACTTAAGAATTTATGTTCTACTGCATTCTCAGTGGCAGAATTTAAAAGTTTTATCTCTGGAAATGTATTCAACATGTCTGTTGGAGATTAATTTGAATATCCTTGACATCTTCGTAATGTGGATTTCTTTCCTGCTCTTGCGCATCTGTTTCTTCCTCTGATTTGACACATTTTTGAGAAAACAAGTACAAGACAAGAATGACAAAAAGGGCAAAAAACAAAACTATGACAGTTATCTGCAAATCAGGAATGGAATTCTTTCGTGGCCCAGTATTGTTAAAGGAAGGGTGAATATCTTTCGTAGAAAAACTGACAGAGGTGGGTTTCTTCTCATCATCGTTTTCTTCTGCAGTTGTTTGTCGAGGTGCAGAATCTGTAGAATAAGAAACTGAAAATCCTTGTTAAATTGTATATTCCAAAATGACATAATTTATATAAATGATTTGAACGTTCCATACCTCCGTGATCTGCACATCCTGTTCTAAAATCATAACTTTCTTTATTTTGTTCAGGATAACACATCATCCGACAACCCATTCCATAGTCCGGATATATGCATGTCATATTGCAGAATTCTCCGAAATAACCTGGTCCACACACTGCGTAAGAAAAGGCAAAAAATAAGCATTCAATACTCCAGAGTCTTAAAAAAAATTACTGTTTTAATATTCTCTGTTATATGGTCAGATGACACTTTCCTTCAAAATATGTTTTGTATATCTTTGGATAATATACTGAAAGGAAA